CCGTGGGCACACAGGTGTGGAGGTCTGCGCTGGGTGTTTGGGGGGGGGGCACAGGAAGGGAACAGCTGGACTGACCAAGGAAAGAGAAGCAGGTGGGCTGCAGAAGGGGGCTGGGAAGGGACAGGTAGAGGAGAGAGGGGTTGTGGCCCAGAGTCAGGGAGGGCACCTACATGGGCCCTAACAGTCCCAGGAAGGGTCCTGGGCAAGGCTAGAGCTAGAGGGGTGCTTCCCCACCACCACCGTGTGGATGCTCCCATGTCTGCTCTGCCGGGGTTCCTCACAGCAGCCCAATTATATCCAGGTGGGAACTGCTTCTGAGAGAGGTTAAGAGATGCTGCCAAATCTCACAGCCCTAGGGGGACCTGGCCAGTGCTCTCCTCGCCCACTAGTCTGGAGATGCTGACCCTCAGAGCCACTGCGACCTCCCTCCCTCCTGCTCTACCAGGGCATCTTCAGATCCCCAAGGAAGAGGCCCTGGGCTGAAACCTGAGCCCCACACCAGAACTCAGCTTCCTGGGTCCTCCCAGCAAGCTTCCTCCACTCAGCCCCTCCTCCCACACAGGGTGGTCACACAAGTTCACTCAGACTCCTTGGAGACACACAGTCAAGAGCCCAGCCCAACCCCGAAGCTCATGCTAGCCCCAGGGGCTTCCTAAAGGACTGCCTCCACCCAGCCTGGGCGCTCCAACCATCCCGCTGCCACCTGCATCCAGGCAGGCGGAGGGGCTTGGTGACCCTGGGGCTGGGGTGGCCCACAGGCCAGGTAGAGAGCAGGGTGGGGGCCCAGAGGCACAGCTGTGGCTCACATGAAGACCTACATCTTATCCTTCCACGGCCACCTTTATTTACCCTGCACCCACGGATCTGGGTGCCCCTCCCATAGCCTGGGAAAGCCCCCTGGCACGGAGCAGAACCACCCCATGGGGGTCTCCAGGCTGGGAGCAGAGGGCGGGGTCTTCTCTCTCAGAACAGCTGTGGGTTCACATCTCCAGCCTGCAATTTAGCATCGGAACACTCAACCAGTAGGTCATGGGGGCTCCTACCCAGACTGTCAAGTAGGGAAACTGAGGCCTAGCTCCCCAAACAGAGTCTTAGAAAGGCCCCCTTCCCAACCACAGCCCCATCCCCTGGAGACAGGCATCACCTTCTCCCCCCAGCCGTGAGGACCAGACTACCACCATCCAGAATAGCAGCGCCCCCCACCACCCCCCACCCCCCCGGCCACCCCCACACTCCTGCCTGCCCTGGCACTGGTGGCCAAGGGGCCACGGCAGAGACGGGCCAGGCGTGCAGGTGGGTTTCCTAGGAGGCATAGGGCTGGGTGCCTGCGCTACGGGGGAGGCAGCTCCCCAGAGTCGCTCCCTCCATGAAGTCAGTTGTCACTTCTGTTAAAGTCATTAATTCCTAATTCCCCAATTACCTCATTAGGCGGCGGTGGGGAGAACGGGGCTGCTCCTACAGCAAATAATTATGGGAGTCAAAATTAATTTGGCAAAGTGGAGCGATGCTTTATTAGAAACGTCAAATTGCTTTTCTCTTATTTTGCTGCCGCCTCCCCACTCGCCGAGAGCTGCTAATGACGCTGCGTGGTGGGAGCAGATGTGTCACCAGGGACGAGGGGACTGGGGGCTGCCCCTGGGGGGCTTCAGCCGTCTGCTGCCCAGCACTCCCATCAGAACAGGCCTCTCTCACGGCCCCCACCCGTCCTCTGGGATCCCCCACCCTTGGGGAGCTCCCTTCTCTTCTCACCCAGGCCCAGGCTGCTCCTGTATCACCTGGTACAGGTGAGGCCCCTCCCCCTCACTGTGAGCGTGGGGGGAGCTTTCTTCTCCATACTAGGGGAGCCTTGTCCCTAAGCCCAAAGAGTCAGATAGACAGACAGCACATGCTGTCTCCAGGGAGCCACTGGGGTGGCCCTGACACTAGCTAACACTCAGCCATCCTACAAGGAGCCATAGTGGCTGGTTGTGCTAAGCACAGGGCTGCAAACAGTGGAGCCGCAGATTCAAACCCATCAGCAACTCCTTAAGGAAAAGAACAGGCTATCTGCTCCCAGAAAGATGGACTGGCTCAGGGAACCCCACGGGGCAGTCCTACTTGTCCTGTAGGGTCTCCATGAGTTCGTGGGAACCCGCTCAATGGCAGTGGGTTGGGTTGAGTCTGGTCTGAGTCTTCCTACAGGCTGAGCTGGTGGCTTATGAAAGCCGGAGGAGGGACAGGGCCTTGAGGGCACAAGGCTCTCAGGCAAAGGCAGGGTTTGGGGTGGCCAGGTGGGGATTCAAAGGCAGGCTCTCTGCAGAGACAGCCACCCCTATGTTCAGAGAAGATCAGCATGCATGAACCATCAGGCGGCTGACCCCTACCTCCCACCTTACCCCCGAAACAGCACCCAGAGTGGACTGATGGAGATGGGGGTGCACTGCAGCAAATCACGGGACAGTCTCTCTCAATGTCATAGGGACGCCAGGCCGGCATCACACATCCAGGCCCGAGAGGTCCCCAGCCACACAGTCACACCCAGGTCATCACGCACTGTCCCCTATCTATCACACGCACACACGCCCAGGCCTGGGTCATGGTCTCCCCATTCCTTCTCCCTCTGTGCCCCTCCCCGGGCCGTGCAGCCATCAGCTAGCTGCCAGGCGCACTGCACTCTGCTCTGCCCACAGGTGCCAAGGTCACACACCTCTCTCCTCTCAGGCCCATGCAAAAGCTGCATTGTAATGAGAGGGGTCTATAGCCACATCCCTATCTCAGGAGGCAAGAGGAGGGGAGGGGGCCCAGACCCAAATCTACCCCACCCCACCCCTCTCCCACCTCCACCTTCTTAGAGCCCAAGCCCTCTGGCATAGATAGAGCCTGCCCCTCCTCATCTCACCCACCCTCCCACCCACGCACACACTCAGAGGAGCAGCCAGAGGGGAAGGAGAGGAGGCAGCTATCAGGGGCTGGAGATGGGGGGATCGATCCTGCGGTCAGAGGCCAGGAGTTCAGACTGAAGGGAGGGGACAAGGGCTCAACCAAAGACCAAGGCAGGAGGAAACGGAGCCAGGTCAGAAGTCAAGGGGTGCCTGGATTGATAATTGCCTAGGGGCCTGGCAGGGGACCGTGGGGGCAAGGGGTGGGGGAGCTAACAGCAATGAGGATGCGCAGAAAATGTTCCCAAACGGAGTGTGGTGCTGACTGCACAAATCTTAATATGATTGCACGATGAAAATGTATCATCTGTGAAGTATATGCCAATAAAGCGATCCGGAGAGAAAAAAAAGAAAGATGGACTCTGATTCGGATCTTGTTTTCAGGGTCCCCGATAAATGGTGGCCCCGGGACGACCGTGCAGGTACTAGTGTAATGCCCTCCTGACTTTATGAAGGGGATGCCCCTGGTAGGCGTGGTTCTGTGCTGTCACCAACGCCAACAGGGCCGAGTGACTGGACAAGTCAGCCATTCGGTACCGCAGGCTGAGAAGTCAGCAGGAAAGGTCTGACGCAGGACCGGAGATGGGGGCGAGGGTCCCGCCTGGAGGTAAGACTGAAAACTGGCTGCCACTGAGTTGGTGCCAACTCATGGTGGCCCTCTTCCCCGTGTGTCAGAGTGTAACTGCGATGTCCCGGCTTTCCAATGACTGGCTTAGGGACAGTCCACCACCAGATCTTTCTTCCCAGCCACCTCTGACGGGACTCAAACCATCAACCCTGGGGCCGGCAGCAGGCAGCAAAGCACTTAATCATTCACCCCACACAGGGATGACTCCACCCGCCCACCCCAGACTGCGGAGAGGAGCGGCAGGCAGGACGCCCCAAGCGAAGCCCTGGGTAGAGACCCATCCAGGAAGGCGAGCTGGCACCAGCAGGTGCCAGGTGGGGGCTAAGGAGCTGGGCTGGGCAAGGGCAGAAGGCCATGTGGGGTGAGACTGTGACCTGTGTAACTGTTAGAGTTGATGCTCCGTGGGATTCTCAAGGGACTGACAAGCCTGTCTCCCAGGCACTTCCTGGTCCAGCTGGTGGGCAGGGCACACCTTTCGGTTACTAGGGCGACGCATAACCTCTGCCCATCCCATGACTACGTTTACTCAACGTGCATGGGAGCCCCACACTCAAATGAACAAATCCAGCACAGACCAAACCAAACAAGGAGCATCCCCCTACCCACCCATGCAACACAGGTTACAGGTTACCGGGGGGATCGGGAGACAGAGGGATGGATGGACGCAAGGAGAAGGCGGGGATATTCAAATCAGATGGGTGGGTCTCTGAGTGACTGGGAAGGTGGGGCTGGATCTGAGACACGGACCAACATCGTGGAGACTCAGGGATGGAATGGGACAGGGGGCTGGAGGGCTCCGCTTGGCGGCAAGCTCAGGTCAGGTGCGGCCTCCGAGGCAGTGAGGGGACTGGGGAGGGGGCGGGACGGATTCTGGGGCCCTGGGGTCCTTACAATGTGCAGCTGCAGGTAGTCTCCAAGGCCGGAGGCGCTGTCCACGCGCACAAGCACAGCGCTCCGCTGGTGCGTGCTGAAGCCCACGGCCAGGCGGTCCATCCTGGTGCTGGGCCGGTCATTGGGGGGCCACGTGTAGGTGATGAGCGCACCCCCCTTCCCAAAGATGTACGTGGTTCCAGCTGCGGAGAGAAGAAGAGCTATGTGGTATCTCGGAGGCAGGGCAGCAGGCTCACTGGGCAGTGGCCAGAGCACTGGGATGCCAACTTTGGTGTACGGGGCTCCGACTGTGAGGCCCTCCTCCCCCAGCAGCCTCCAGGCCCTGCCACCCAAGAGAGCAGTTGGCTGGCGGGTGCCCAGCAGGACTGTTCACGTGCGCAGACAGATGAAGCTGCCTCATCAAGAACCTAGCTTTAATTACAGCAAGAGAGAGAGGTGATGGGGAGAGCCAGAGAGAGAGGTGGGGCGGTCGGGGAGCCTGGGCCTGGCCAGCTCCACGGCTCCCAGGGATGGCGGGCTGGGTCGCAGAGGTGACAGGCGCAAAGGGGTGCTTCCTGGGGGCCAGGGCCAAGCAGGTACCCAGGGGAAAAGACGTCCAAGTGAGGGTAGGGAGGCGTGCAGGGGTAGGTTCAAGGTAGACTCAGTCCGCAGGCGCTGTTCCCCAAGCCTCATCCCCCCCACCCAAGCCTGACCCATCCGCCTAGGAATGCTGGCATCCCCCCCGCCCCCCCACTCCAGGGGCATGCCTCCATGGGAGGGTGAGGCCAGGTCCCAAGGCCAGGGTGTCCTGGAGCCTGGCCCAGGAAGGGGAACCCGCCCAAGGGCGTGGTGGGGGTGGGGGGTGCTGACAGCCAGAGGAGGAGGAGGCCAGGAGACAGATGGACAGATCGGGACAGAAAAGGGTGTAGGTGAGAGAAAGCAGGAGGGTGGGAGCAAAGCTGAGGCTCCCTCTCCCAGCCCTCCCCCACCCCACCCTCTCCCTCTCCTCCTCGCCATCCGGCTGCTGGGGGCGGGTGTGAGGTCCCTAACGATCTCAGCCCCAAAATAAACCCCATTAGTCTCCATGTTCCCTCCTGCGGCTGAGTGAGCTCCCTGGGGGTGGGGGGTGGGGGCTGGTCACCCAGTTTCCGGGCAGGGAGCCTCGTCTGGGAGGCTGAGAGGGTCGGTGAAGGGAAGGGAGTGTGCGTTCAGGTGTGCTTTAGAATAGAAACGGGGCAGGGGGGAGTCATAAAATATTTAATTAAATAATTAGCGACTGACGACTCCTCTCAAAGCACTTCTTCGGGCAGAGGGGTTCCAGGGGGGAGAGCTTGGCAGGGCAGTATGTGAGAGGTACAGGGGTTCTGGGGAGAGCTTGGCAGGGTGGTGGGGGGAGCCAAGGTGTTCCACGGGGTACTTAGCTATAGCAGTGTAGAGGAGGGTAGAGAGAGTCCAGGCAGGGCTGAACCAGGGTGGTGGGGGGAAAGTGGGGGAGCAGAGGGGTTCCATTCAGGGAGGCCCTAGCCAAGGCAGAATGGGAGCAGAGGAGTCCTGAGAAGGTCTTAGGGCCATATGGGGGCAGGCAAAAGGGTTCCAATCAGCGGGGGCTTAGCAAGTGGGCTAAGAGGGGCTCCAGGGGCTGCACGCTTGGGGACATGCCAGCCTGGCTCAAAGCACAAACCCAATACGCCCCAAGATGGCGACCAGCGGGCCACACAGGGCCCTGGTGTCTGCATACACCCAAGGAAAGAGGAGCCCCTCACAGGGCCCCAGTTCAGGTAGCCAGGGACAAGGGAGCCCTATCTCAGGGAGCTCCTGGGCCCCCAAAAGAGGGGGCGGACCCTGGAAAGGGTTGCCCCTCCGCAGGCCCCAGTGAGGAATAGAGGGGAGGGCTGAGTACTGGGTCAGCAAGGGGGGTACAGAACCATGAACCCACCTGTTGAGTCCCAGAAAGCCCCCACCTCCTGTCCAGGCAGGGTGGGAGAAAACAGGCTGAGACCCAGGGACCCCAGCAGACAGCCAGGGAGCAGGCTCTGGTCCCCGGGCCCCTGGGGCTCTCTCCCTGGGGCCTGAGAGGCACAGTGGGGCAGGAGGAAGCCCTGGATTCTGCAGGGAGCTGGCTGGTCCCGGGATGCAGCGCGGAGGCCGCAGCCCCACCCGTGCAGGGTCGCCTGCCGCGGGAGGGCAGAAGGCAGGAGCAGGCCGGTGGGCAACCGGCTCCTCACTCCCCACACTGCAGCACTCCGGAAAGATCTGTTTCCATGACGACGGTAAGACCCAGGTCCTCCCTTCCCCCTCCACTCTTAGGCTCCGGGTCCAAATTTTAGGGGTGGGGGACGGAGTTGTTGAGTGGCCGCACCTGGTTGAGAGCGCCCCTCCCTTGGCCAGAGGTACAGCCTCGCCTTCCCGGGGCTCCCGGGCCGGCCCGTGGGCTTCTTGGGCCCTGGGACCAGCGGAAAGAAGCCCCGGCTACCTGAAGCCTTCCACTAAATCGCCTGGGTCCAGGGAATGGCGATCCTTGTTCTTCACTCCCCCGCCCCCACGCAAGAACGCAGCACCCTGGAGCGCCCTCTCCCCCAAGTCCCTGTCTGCACCCAGAGAGTGCCTGGGGTGCAGGCAGGACCCAGAGAAAGCACAGCGGGCGCGCAGGGGACCCCCTAGACACGTCCTGCACCCCACAGTCCCAGGAGGAGACAGGCACAAAGACAGGAGTCCCACAGGGGCGCGGCCGACCCCCCGACGGGAGCCGCGAGCCCCGCCGGAAACATGGCTGTGCGCGCAAAGCCAGGCCGCAAAACCCGGCCTCGTGGGCGCAGCTCCAGCGGTGGCGAGGGACAGCGGCCA